GTGCTATTATGCTATTATGCTATCATATCATGGTTTTGGTGTGGGTTTCATGTAGATTGTAGCTAAGTTCATTTTTTCTTGCATATTTTTCATTAAGTCCTCTGCAGTTTCTGCATGTTATAAAAAATACTTGCAGGTTGATTCACTCCTTTTGATTTCTTTTGATATCTTTCATGTGTGAAGTTTCTACTACGGAATCAAACCCCGTTTTTTCATGATCTTCACAAGTCAGTTCAATGGAGTTTGTTTGTGCATGAGCTACATGTTGTGGTACTACAGTGAAGTTTCAGGTGTTTAAGTGATTTGTGAAAAAGTTCACTTGCAAAGAGATAAAGAAAAACAATGCATAATCAATCAAGAGTGCGGGTGCAAGTTGTAAATGGTAAGGCTCAAAGATCAGCTTGCAAAGCTTGAATGTTCCTGACAGCACATCAACTTGTGTTCCCCTACCCCTTATCCTCTCTTGGATCTGACCTTTGAGGCGAGTTTTTTTGCTTTTCATTCGCGTTTTAAGTAACAAACAATCAGTGCGTGTAATATATAGGAGAATCATGCTCAATGATCCATGCCAAAAGATGTAGAGAAGTAGAGATGTGTAATTGGCAATTTCACATTGCAAGCTAATGCTATTAGCTAATGTAATATATAATAATGGTTGCAATATGCTTTGGATGCTTTGTGTGTAGCAGAAGACATTGCTAGCATGTGTTATGACAAGGTTATATGGAGAGGGCAAGTGGATGTAGGATTTTGATGAGCTTTATCTAGGAGGAGAAATTTAGAAATTTGATGCTTAGCTCAAGTCTTCTCATTGGGGAAGGTTCACGTCTTATGCCTAATATCAATATTGATGATCAATGTAAACAATTGTTGATGAAAATCTGGGCTGTAACTCAGCAATATTTTGATGACCTTAACTTCTTTGATGACACATAAGAATATGATTTAGAGGATCCTGCCAAAAATCTGCACATTTTGCAACAGGATCCTGCCAACAATCACCATGTAGGCTTTTCCTTTATTCCATTGTAGATGTAGTTTACTCTGAACCTGTAATAAACCTGTGTTGCAAAGAAACCATGGAATTCAGATGAAGAATTCACAAGATAGAAGTAAATTTTGCATTTGTGACAATGGTACAAATCCCAATTTGTTCAACTAAATATTCTAAATTTATATACTAAATTCTAAATTCTGCAATTTAATTATCATTTTGCAGAGAAACTGTGGATTCAATTTGCATTTTGAGAGAACATTTTCTTATGTAACTCAACCAGAGTGTAATGAGGAGGTTAAAGATTGCAAAGGATTTTGTATGAAAGTACAGTGAATTTATAGTGTTAAACCACTGAAAGGTATGCAGGATGAGAGACATTTGGGTGAGTTGGGTTTTAGTTGCATGATAAGGAGTAACTCAAGGCTCAGAAATTTTGACATAAAGTTGCAACTCTGTTTGTAACTGTGTTGGGAAGATGATTGGATCCTATCTCATAGTATTTGATCACATAATCATCGCATAAAAAATATGTTTATTATAGCATCAGATAGGCTACAAAACCATGCCTACAAACAAGAAACTGTCATGGTCTTTTATTTGTTTGTTTATTTTTGCAACATCAAATGCTCAAGGCAGATGGTCATGATTACAGAAAAAATTGAAATTCATAAATCCAAAGTAAATTGTTACGATTTGTATTCTTTTAGTTATAAGTACCTGCTCTAGTGGACCAATTATTTTAATTCCAATAATTATTGAAATGAATTATTGAAATAATTTCATTAATATGATAATTTATTGAAATGATTATTATAAATTATTTTAGGTCACTTTTTCCATGACAACGACACAGGTTTAGCTAGTCTGTAAATAATAACCAATGGATTTTATAAGTTACTCTCTGAAAATGATCTAAAGTATTCTGAATGGACTCAAATGCTGAATTGAAAAATACGTTGGTCTTGTTGCTGTTAATGGATTTCATGGCAGAAAATGGTCAAATGTTATTATTTCAACCACAAGGTATTATGTTGATTCTGTGTTTGATGGAGTGATACATTTTTGTAAAAGATTTACATCATCACTCTATGTTAATACCTTGTGGTTGAAATATTCTGTGTTTGATGGAGTGATGCATATATGTCTATTTGCATATATATATATATATATATATATATTTTAAGATATATTTTAAAAAAATCTTTTGAAGATGTAAAATATATCCTTAATAACTGACTAGGTTTCAAAATTGGGTAAAATATATCAGAACCAGATAGCATCCACATATTATTATGATATTGAATTAACACTACTTAATAAATAATAAATAATAAATAGTATTATCTTATATATTATATTAGATATAAAAATAAATTTGTGTTTAGACCATAGATATTATTGTGCAAACTATTATTGTATTAATGAGTTTGTCTAAGATTGTTTGCAATTATTTTTTATGCTTCTTTTATTGACTTATTGAAAAATTAGTAATAAGTAATGACTTAAATTATTTTTTTAAATTTTTTTTGTGTTGTAGCAAAACTAAAACCTATCTTATAATCCAAAAATAATTCATAAATATTATTGTAATCCGCTATCATATTAAGGTCACATCGAGTATAAAATTTAGGTTAAAAATTCTACTATAAGAGTATATCTTATGTAAAAAAAAAAAAAAAAAAAAAAAAAAACTTTGACAATTTATCAAAACAATCAATAAATTTCCTTTACATGAAATATTAATTACATAAAAATTATCTAGCTTAAAAACTCTAATGTAAAATATCCTTTCAATTTCCTTAAAATTATATTAAAAAAATGGTTAAAGCACTATTTACTATTATTACTATTATTATTATAAGGTTCTCCTATAAACCGTTATTTACTGTTTTGTTCTAGCTAATAAGTAGTTTCAACATATCCGATTTTCTCAATTAAGAAAGTTGATCATCTCAAACCCTAAATGGTTGAAGAATAACATATGCTTGTTGTATTAAGACCCAACACAATAGGCAGGTTTCTGGAAGTCGTCGATGGTACTTGAGGAGATCACAAAAATTGCATATACATATAAATCAATACTTTTCTGACATGGAAGTGAATGTCAAGTGAATTCATGTCAGCCAGGTAATATTGCAGCAGAGAAGATCTTGTTACCATTGTGATCAGCGTTAGATTTTGGTTTGGTTTGGTTTCATTTTTAATTTTTTTATTCGGTTGCTAATCACATGATCATGATTTATATATATATATATATATCTTTAAATTTTTACTGTTGAGACCTTGTGGATAAAAACCCCTCCAAATGGGGTCTATTCTTCCCTCTTAAATGCAATTAAATACACATTGTATCTTTACAAGCATGCAAGAACTTTGAAACTTCTCTTCATTGTTTTATCTGTTGTAGTACGTGTTTGATTTTACATCTGGTTTGTTTTAAAGTGTTTTAAAGATTTTCTTGGTGAAAGGTAGAGCTGTAGCAAATGAGAAATTTACGGGGTTGTACTATTTTCAAAGTAAATAAATGAAAAGAACAGGACATAATCTTAGTATTGAAACTGTAAGCTGAAAAAATCACTTTTAAATATGTGTAATAGTGAATCTTTCAATAAAATATAAAATGTGTGCATGATTTTCTTATCATTTAAATCACAGTTCAAATTATAAATTCCACATTCGTCAGTTGCACATATAGAACTACAATCAATTTCTATGTTAGTTTAGGCTTAAAGAAACAATGTTGGAATCAAGTATTTTCAAAATAGAGACTAAAAATCATTAATTTTTTGGTTGTAGTTGTATAGTGCACGAAGTCAATATAAACTACTCATTGAATTGCAATTTCTAGATTCAATATTCGAAAAACACTTCCACAAATAGCTGACTAAATGGACCATCTCACATAACAATAAAATAAATAAATAAATAAATAAAATAAATAAATTTACAGCATCCATGGGTAGGCCATTTTAAAAAATTCATCCTCAATCTCTAGTTCTATTTCACATGCTTTCATTTTCTAATAGCTCTGACTGACCCAAGTCAGTATTTAGCTTCCACTCAATCATACTAATACAGTTTATTTGCGCGTTTACCCTTTTTTCACTTTTCAATTTGTTTTTGCCTTTCTTCCTTTAAATCCCATCTACAATCACAAAACCTGATTTCTTCATGACAGAGTGAGTTGAGTCTACACTAAAGGCTCAATCAATCATCTGATGAATGCCACAGCTGGGGTGAATTCTGCACTTCTGGTATAAAAGAAAAGGAAAAGAAAGAAAGCAAAAAACCTTTAAGTGCCTGGCATTGAAAGAACACAATCCTGCAGCTTAAAATTGTACTGATTTGGGGTGACTTGCTGCTGCCACAAATTGCATTTCTCCCTTTAGAGAGTGAATACGTCTTTATTAATAAATGAGCAAAGGGGTCAGTGAAGTCTAATATTAAAGCACCCTCAAAGATCTTTGAAGAGTAATTGGTCATCAGCAGAAAGGACAAACTCATGTTTCATGGGACCGAGCTTTGAGTAATCATCAAAGCAGCTTGTGTCGTCCTTTGACTGGACCCATCATCACCCCATTAGACAATCGTCCTCTTCAGAGTGCATAAGCATTCTCATAAATAAAGCATCTTTAAGTTAAGAAGTTGGATCAGAAATCAAGCAACTTGGATTTTTTTTTGTTTTGTTTTGTTTTGTTTTGTTTTTTTTTTTTTTCCTCATGTGAAGAAGGCAAAGCAAAAAATGCAGTCGCGTGGATACTGAGACTTTGGGTTGAATTGGGGGAGTGTCCCAGTAAATAGGCGCTGCATGCGGATGGGTGCTGATATCTACAAGCACGCACTCTAGTCTCCGTGATTAACTGCACACAAGTCAGCGGTGATTTTAATTCATTGGGTCAGTGGAGCTGCTGTGTGGAAACAGTAGAATGGCCACACCGTTTTGTCAAGTCTGCTTCGAGAAGTCTTTTCACGAGATCTTTTGAACTGCAGAGCCAGATTACAATTTGTGAGAAGTAGTTTATTAAGTTGCCACAAATACAAGTTGAGCATGAAACCACAACTCCAAGCATTGTAGCCGTAGTGTCTACGACCCCTTGAGACGTTGCAAAAATTGCTGGTCACTTCTTGAATAAATCTGCACAAGTCTTCTTGTGACAGGTTTGGTTTAATTGGTGAATCACATGGTGCACGTTTTGGTGACTTTCCAAGCAAGGCGGTTTGAGCGTGCGTCTTAGATCGTTTCCTATCTTTTCCTGAGTCTCACGAAGATTTGGATTTGGTGATTATTACGGCGTACCATTGTTGCATTATCGAGCGAGCACACATTTAAGGGCCAAGGTGCTGTTTGACCTTAAGTTTTTCTTGCTGGCACTTGTTGATATATATGTGTAGCAACGTTAGTGCTTCTGTTGTACTGACACTAGTGTGTAAGGTCTCGTATGTGCTTCAATCCAAGTTGGTCAAAAACTGAACACGGACACAAGAGTACCTTTTAGAAAAAAGCCTCGGGAACTTCAATTTACCACTCAGTATCTTCTGGTAAGTACCTACAGGATCTGTGCATGAAACATTTCAAGACGTATGTAAAACGGTACAATATTATACATAAAATTTTACAAAATCTATATCACTTTTTTCGGTGGTAAATTGAGATTATCTCACCGTTGCCAAGAAAAGGAGGATAACCAGCCAACATCTCGTATATTAGAATCCCAAAAGTCCACCTATTTTACATTAGTTCCACAACCAGATGTATTAAAAGACAAAAATATTGACCATCACGAATAAATTCAAACGTCATACCTATAATCACGTGAGTCACAAGGTCGGATACTATGTCTAATGAAATTACACCTGCAAATTGGCACTCACTTTATATTTTATTTATATTTTATTTATCATGTCTGCCATGTTATTCAGTTTTTCAATCCTACCCAACCAATCAACAATTTACCAGTCGACAGGCTTGCCATGACCCTTATTCAAAATGATCTCAGGAGCGAGATAATCAGGTGTACCTGCGCAGAGTCTCTACGAATCCCAGTCACAACCCACAAACAACCACCTACCATGTGACGCTACCACAGTAAGCACTAGATCGAACTGAGACGTATAGAATACTTAAGAGCAGAATATTATGTGCCGGTTAACATGGTTTACCGCACAACGTATACGCTCTGCGATCAACTTGTTTCGCAAACCCAAAGTCGGTGACCTTGATATTGCCTTTCTCATCAAGCAGCAAATTTTCGGGCTACCAGCAGACAAATCACCACCCCTTCTGACACTAAGGCCACTTCAAAACAAAATATGAATGATAAATCTTTTCCCAAAAATGGTTACGTAGAACACCCGCATCAAGGCATTTAAATGCAATAGAATTGAAGCCACTAAGAGCCTACCTTGAGATCTCGATACATGATATCCATGCCATGCAGATACTCAAACGCACACAGAACTTGTGAAGCATAAAATCTCTGCCATAATCGATAATATGTTAGACTGCCCCCTCCCGTGAATCAAAAAGACGCAACAACAGTAGTCTCTTGAAAACGTAGTCACAACCAATTGTTTGATGTACACCGTTACAGACTATTAACTGGTTTATCGTTTGGATGCAAACAGTTGAATGTAAACCATGAAAAAATTGAACTTGCATCACTTAGAAGAGTCTGAGTAAAAACGTGGAACTCCTTCAAATATTGAAGGGGTGTCAAGAATGGCTCACAGCGGTGGCATCATCAAAACGTCCACAGCTGCGAAAGTAAGTAAAAAACTCGCCACTGCACATCATATTTTTGAAATGCTTGTGACAAAGCTGGAATTGAGTTGGATGACACACATGGACAAAAAAGATGTGAATTGGTCTATCGGTTTCAATTTGGTCAAGACAAGAGTTGCTCCAGAGATGAATTTTTAGCTACTCTTACCCACAAACATATTCTGTGATGAGAGGCACACACTGATCATCTTGGCAACATCCAAGAAGATTGACTACAAAAGGATGTGATATCCTCTGTAAGATAGACTTCTCCTGCTTAACGTGCAACACCTGCCACACCATTTCACCAGGTGGAAAGCAGCTGGTGGATGAATCGTGAGATAATGATGTAATGAAATATAGCTTTCATATATGACCTATTGAATGTAGCTTCCAATTTCGGTAGGGAAAGTGATCTCGAATATAACAAAGTTACGAAGTTATTTGATTGTCCTAGTAGTTCCAGCTCTCAACCTTAAGTTATAGTTTGTGAAGGATTTGGTTACGCGTCTCAACAAAGATGTATTACACATATCGATCAAGAATAAGCATTAAAAAAAGAGGTAAATTCTGTCACAAAGTTAAAGCAATTGAATCACATTTACAAGCATTATAATACCTAGGGTGTGGTACCTGTTTCGTTCCAACAATTGAGGCTTTGGACAAGGATTTAGTGGCAAAAACTTGCCCTGTCTTAGTGTAATATGCCAAATATACTCGGCCAAAGCTTCCAGTCCCCAAAATTGGACCCAACTTGAAGTCGGTAAACTCGCAGCCTTCAAGCCAAATCTACAAACCCATCATCGCCAACAGCATAAGAAAGAATGCTAGTGCCTTCCTATCAACTCAAATATATAAAAAAGTTTGCAGGAACGTGCGTGTACCTTGTTTTCTGGAGCAGCGCCAGCTCCTCCAGACGCCGTCGCGGGTTCCTTTGATGTGGAAAAAAAATGTATACAAAACAACGACTCAGCAGCTCTCAATGGCTTCAAAATTCAAATAACCTCGAAACAGCATGACGCTCATGGACTTCGACACCCGATCTGACGACAGACTATACTTTCAATGCAAGCGGAACCGAACAGGAAGTGGCCAAATCTGAATTTTGTGAGAGATGAGATTTCTCACAAATTCGGTTCATCTCTCACAAATTTGAATCTCATCACAAATCTGAATTTGGCTTTCACGAGCAGTGGACAAAAGACAGCAGGTTGTCAACTGAGTGCACACAGAAACGACATTACCGCACTCATCAATACCATAGTTCCAACTACTACTGAAGCATGATATCTAAGCAAACCTAAAACTGCATTACCAAGAGAAAAAAAACATGACCCCACCTTTGAACTTAAGGAATGTGATTGAAAGAATGAATATGAGTGAAAATGCGATAACCCAGTTGAAAAGTGCATGAATGATTTCACACTTGATTAGTGATGTGCTTCAGGCCGATGATACTTTCACACCAAACATCATCAAAACCTAATGAAAACTCAGTTAAACTCAGCAGAAATAATCTTGTGTTGTTTAGTTTTGTAGGATGGAAAAGTTTCTCAAAATTTACAAAGATTTATGTATTTTAAAAAACATTAAGATTGTGTTGTAAATACTATATATATATATATATATATGTATATATATACACATAGAAAAAAATATTTATAATTGTGTGCTGATTCTTATACAATATTGTATCATTGACTTACAATAGAAATGCAATGCTTATAGGTTGTATGGTCCTAAAACTCAAGAAGATTGATTGTCACACCAGAAAGGTTTTTATCTTGCCTTATTGCCTTAGAAATTACAATAGTCAATCATAATATGTAAATTTTAAATTAGATAGTTCTTATTTAGACTAGATGATAACTATTAGAAAAGACTCATGCACGCTTCCATAAGCAAGTCATTAAGGTAATAAAACCACTTACAGGTCCTTTAAAGCAATATTTTTAAAGAATCATTTGACAATAATATTTCTACTGTTAAGATATCTCTACGGTAAAAAAACTACTAAAAGTGATTAAATAAAAATATTTTTCTTTTAGAATATTAGTAAATGTTTGTATATATATATATATATATATATATAAGCACAACTTTTAATGTATTTAAATTTTGGTTAACACTTACAAAGAAAAAATATTAATATTTGATAAAATTTGTAAAAATATGATGATAATATATAATTATAGTTGTAAGTAAAATAAGTATTGCAGAACTATTTAAGTAAGATTTGTATCAAAATATAGCAAAATAAACTACTAATTTCTTTTATAGGTTGTAAAATAAAAAATAAAAATGAAACAAATAAAAAAGATAGTATCAAGTTAATAATTTATATAAATTTATACTTTATATATCTTATCTTTGGAATGTAGGTTTATTTATTTAGTTATTATTATTTTTTTTTGTAAAGATTGAATTTCTTTTATAAAATTTATAGAAATAAATATCAGAGATAATATTAAGAATAAAGTTTCATACTAACTATAACTATAACTATAACTATATATATATATATTCTTATTTAGATTAGATTGAATTCTAATTTTGATATATTAATATAAAATAGAGCTAGTAGATTCAAATTTAAAAATTAATTATTCATAAAAAATTCAAAACATGTTAAAAAGGTGTAATTAGTAAAACATGAAATTAAATTAATTATTCTTTACGAATATTATTTTTCAAATTTTTAGGTTTTATTTTTATTAATTCATTAATTAATATAAATGTACTAAAAATATTGAAAGGCTTAAATTAAAAATGGTATTAGATATAAATACTTCAAATTAGTAATTGAAATATTTTTATAAATTTTACTTATATAATTTCATATTTTAGTATTCTTTAAAATAATTGTGCTATTCAAAATTAGATGTCAATCTTTACTTCTATTAATTTTATTTTATATGAAAAAATTCTATCTACTACTAAATTTGAATCTTCAACATGTTGTTAATATAATTTTATATTACATATTAAATAAATAAAAAATAAAAAATATATCTTTAATTTATTATTTTAAAGAATAATTAATAGCTTAGTTTCACATGATAATATTACTTTTAAAGCCAACTTTCATTGCAATTAAGATAAATACTTTTGTATATGATAATAGAAGATATTTTATAACTATCTAATATATGAAATTAGAATTGGTTATTATTAGAAAATTTTAATTAATTATTTTATTTTATATATGTATATATATGTTAAAATTTAGAAACAACTAAAATTGAATACAATCAAATAATTTGTCAATTTCTTCAACTTATTTTTAATTTCAAAATATTCTAAATTTACTCAAATGGTCTTGGTAAAATTTAAATTAAATTGATATATAATTTAATAAACTATTGAAATTATAAAATTGATTTTAATATAATTTTTGGTCAAATATAATAAATATTTTATAATTTTTATAGATTACTAAAATTAAAAAAATCTAAAAATATTAGAAATTTGGTTTTAAAAATTACAAGTATTATAATATCAAGTTGGATAAATTAAGTTGTATCAAATTATAAAAATAGTTCTTAATAAATTTGAAATAAAACACATTCATATGCAACTTAAAAAAGAAGAAGAAGAAGCAGAATAAGTATGTGTCTATATATATATATATATATATATATATATATATAGACACATACTTATTCTACTTTTTCTTCTTCTTTTTATATATATATATATATATATATATATATATATATTAGAATGGCTATTGCTAAGCACATATAACTTAAGAATCTTAAACCAAGACTAGAATGAAGAAATAACATTGTCTAGAATATAAATAACTTTAATTTTACTTTCATAACCTTTGGCTAATAAGAATGTAATTTAGAAACTTTTTAAGAACCAAAAGGCTTATAAGTCAAGTGTATAAAGTGTAAAATATTTTTATAGTGGATATTTTAATAGTAAAAACATATTTAGAAAATTTATTGTAAGCATATGCTACATACATAAATCCAATCCATATCTAAGTTATTTCTTTAATATTTTTTAATAAAAAGATCTCTTATTTAATCTATATCTATTAATTTTTACTAATTTAATAATAAATATTTATTTACATATATATTTATATATTTTGATAATTTAGAAACTTTTATATTAATTTTAGATAAAAAAATTATTTTCTAATTAAATTTATTTTGTTTTCTTATAAAATTTTCTAACATTTCATAGGTGGATTATTTACTAATAAAAACATTGTCTTATAAATACTACATAAATCTAAATAATAAATTCTGAATTATTACTAATATATTAATTAATTAAAAGTAATAAAATACTTCTACTCATAAATAAAAGTTTTGTATCAAATTAGAAGTTTTATGTCCTAGATTTATAGTTTAGAAGTTTTTTTTAGCAGATAAAATAAATTAAGTAATAATTTAGGTATTTAAAATAAAATCCATATTTTTATAAAATAATATATATTTATTTATATAAATAATATAAAAACTAGAATAACAAAAAAAAAATTATTATTTTTAATATTTTTTAATCTATATTAGCAAATAAGTTATATATTTTTTTATTTTTTTATATTAAAATTTTTAATAATAACATTTAAATATATAGATTAATTTAGTAATAAGTCTAAATTAAAATATTCTAAATAGTAATAAAAAATCTAATATAAACATCCACCAATTTTAAATATGAGAAAATAAGAATATAAGGAAGATTAGGATTATCAAACCTAATTATGAATAAGATAGTGTAATTATATTATATTAGGATAAGACAATAAGTAGCTACTTAAGTAAAGAGAGCTATCAACTATAATTAAATAGGAATAAAATAACCATATAACAAGACTATGTTGAAGGATTTTTTTTTTTTTTTTTTTTTTTTTTTTTTTTTTTTTCATTTTTTTATTATCATTCTATTATATTAAAGCTACATCTATAAAAATTCTATGATTTATGATCTCTATATGATGTTTTTACTATATCTTTGTCTTCTATCTTTTTATCAAAGCTAACTTGTATGTAGTCTATTTTTAATAATAGTTGGTGTAGAATTCTTAATGATTGTCATGGACATACATATTTACTTTAATAATTACCTATATTATTAGGTAGAAGTAAGTAAAAGTAGATTGATTTCATAATATCTTTTAGAGAAAGCTTTCTAGAAGCTTCATAGATGCAATTTTGACTTTAGGCATGTTTGTAGTTGATTAGTAAGTTAGAAACTTGGTCAACAAAATAAATACATGTTACACATGTTGGTAGCTTGTGGAACAAGCTGACTATGTAGTGCACATATAGAAAACTTACCTTACAAGTTAAAATATGTATCTTACAAAATCAACAAGTGTTAAAGGTCTTATAGAACATCACTATATAGCTCCTAATTAGATAGTATACATAGAAGCAAGAGTGAAGCTTTCTTCACTCTTGTCAACATCTTTCTTGTTCTTAGTATAGTTTTAAGAGTCTATTCTATTTTTTTTTTTAGCAATAGCCATTCTAGTTTAATATTATACCATCTTTAAGTGGTTCTATAATCTTTTTGAGAGACATAAGAGTGTATTGATTTTTTAGTTATCTAAAATTGTCAAGGACATGAATCTTGAAGAAAAAAATCCTTAATACACTCTTAAGTCATTCAAAAGAACTAGATTGTCAATTGAAGATGATATGGTATTTAATTAGAATGGCTATTACCAAAGATAAGAAGACTAAAAAGCCTTGAAACAAGACTAAAGACTAGAAACGCATTAACAAGAGTAAAAAATATTTCATTCTTGCTTCTATATATATTCTTAATTAGGAGCTTCAAGGCAATATCTTATAGGACCTCTAAAATGTGTTGACTTTGCAAGACATGTATCTTAACTTACATGGTAAGTTTTCTATATATATATATATACTACATAGTCAACTTATTTTACAAGCTATCAATATGTAGTTAACTTATTAATCAAGCATTTATTCTATCAATCAACTACAAATATATATAAAGTCAAAATAACATCTATGAAGTTTTTAGAAAACTTTTATAGAAAATATTATGAAATAGATTTACTTTTATTTACTTCTATTTAATCATATAAATAAATATTATAATAAATATGTATGTCCGTGACATTATTCTCCCTTCTAGGAACAAGTTCTACATGAATGTCACGGACATAAACATGAAAGCCAGTAATTACATGTATAAACAGGTAGAAGTAAGTTAATTCTATAATATTTGCTATAGAAGCTTTCTAGAAGCTTCATAGATGCTGCTT